CAAACGAAAGCTTCCTGCCACGTTTTCAAGGAGGTGACAGTGGGGCATGTTCTTCTCTACCTCGAGGAGTTGCAGAATGAGTCCGTCCTCATCATCTCCCTCATCGTCTCCCTCATCGTCTCTCTCATCGTCTCCCTCATCGTCTCCCGCATCGTCTCCCTCATCGTCTCCCTCATCGTCTCCCTCATCGTCTCTCTCATCGTCTCTCTCATCGTCTCCCTCATCGTCTCCCTCATCGTCTCTCTCATCGTCTCTCTCATCATCTCCCTCATCGTCTCCCTCATCGTCTCTCTCATGGTATCTCTCCTCATTCTCTCATCATCTCCCTCATCGTCTCCCTCATCGTCTCTCTCATCGTCTCCCTCATCGTCTCCCTCATCATCTCCCTCATGGTCTCCCTCATCGTCTCCCTCATCGTCTCCCTCATCGTATCTCTCTTCTTGTGGTGCCCGACGCCATCTGCACCAATCCGTTTTGCATACAGAGGAGGATGCAAACGGCCGCATTATTAAGGCAGTCTAACGCCAGCCTGCAGGCCTGTGAGCTTTATTTATGTCCCCTCCGTATGTTCAGCTGCTGGGTTACATGGACGCTTTTGGAAGGTCGGGAATTTCAAGAGCTTTAGGTTTTCATGCCTCTCACCAATATCATTACCCTGAGTTTGCAAATTATGATTCTCCTTTTCTTTCCTCTGCCGCAAAAGACTGAAAAATGCGTCATAAGGGACTCGACGCAGCAATTTGTGGCAGCTCTGCTAAATATGGCTGCGGCATCGGCTGTGTTTGTCACTTTGCGTTTCCCCCCAGGGGTCAGACAGGTGCAATGCAGCCCCCTGCCTGGACACGGGCCCCCATGGAAATGCAGCTAGTGCTGCGTATTTTAAAAGGCTGTATCGTTGGCAAGCACCAGTTTTTAACAATAAAGCACAGAGTTTATAATAGTTGCAAGTAGTAAAACAGTTTTATTTTTATTTTTTTATTTTTTTTTAGATGAGCTAAGTTTTTCTTTGTGGGTTCTTTGCTATTTTTTACTAGCTGGCTCTGAATTTACATGAGAAATTGTTAAAGGAAAAATAAAAGATTCCTTGTTGGCCCCGTAGGGTGATTTTGACATTGCATTGTGGCCTGTATCGCATGTTAAATGCATGACGGATCCTTGTGTTCCGCTGGTTCACTTGGAAGGGGTATCAACAGCTAGCTGCACTGATTTTGAAGCTGATCAGTGACACCCCCCCCCCCCAAGCATTACTGTGGGGGGCAGGAAAGCCAGGTAGAGCAGAGGCCACACTTGGTGAGTCCGACGTCCGACTCTCCCCAGAAACCTCTGACGTTTGCCTGGAGCCACAATGAGCCCAGAAAGATGGATGAGTGTAATATACCCAAGAAAAAAGTGTCAGAGTGATGAAACTGGTTACAGTGTTCAGAGATAATTAATGAGTTATTAAGGGAAACCTCTTCAGAGGATGATTAGCACAGATTGTTTATATGTATAGCAAGTCACCCCTTTATCTCAAGGTTTTTTCATTAGGGATTCCTTCCTGCTCTGAAAGTAACAATAGGAATTGATAGTATATGTTAGTTTGTTTGTAGTTTTATCATTCTAAATGTGTGTGAGAGCAGGACATACTCTGGCTATTTTTAACTGTAGGACTTATGACGTGGCAGATGAGACACAACACACTTTAAAATGAATGGTTTTAAGCCCAGATGTGGCAAACTGAGCGCCTGATTGGTTTGGACTGGGGGATTGTCAGTGTGGGTGTTTTGGCAGGTCTGAGTGTTTGTCTATGGTTTTTTGGTGAACTCGTGGCACGCAACACTGCCACCTACTGATTTCAAATCAGAAATCAGGGTCAATTACATCACACACCTCATCTTCTATGACTGATCCAGTATAGGGTTGTGGTGATTCTCAGGCCTTATTTTATCAAACACAGAACACAAGGCAGGGAATCCCTTTGATGGGATGCCAGTGGGGTTCGAACCCTCAACCCTGAAAGTGTAAGGTCACTAGGCCACCTTTTGAAACAGCAGCCAATGATGTAATTTGGGTTTTAAAAAATATTGTTCAGAAAATACCACAACCGTGTCCAGGATAAGTTGATGTAACATAGATGGATAGATAGATGTTTAGGGAATTAAATCTGTTTTGCAGGAGGGGGTAGCTCCCTGGTAGGAAAAGGGTGAATGTTTTGATGTTACAGTCAGTATTGAAGAGCTTGAAATTCCATGGAAACACATACAGGAAATCCTGACTTCTAAATGGAGGTATTTAGTGTGATACTAAACTTCAACCACGAGGGGGCAGTAAAATCTAAAAGATCTTCTGGAGGTTCATGGCTTCATATCGTTTGTAGTTCTCAGTACCAACCACTAGGGGGAAGACTGGAGATGGTTCCAGACCATTAGGGGGCATATCCACACTATGGAAAATTTAGAGACACCAGTTAGCTTACTTATATGCTGTTTACTGCCAAAACCCACACGCCACATGGAGAACATGCAAACTCCACACACACACAGAAGAGGCGGGATTTGAACCCCCCGCATTCAAGATGTAATGCTAACCGCTGCCAGAGAGTTACTGCTAATGTGTGACTCATTTGATTTTGGGTTTTTTTAAGCTTGATTTTATCCATTTTCCATGTAGATAAATGGGAAACATGGGAGTTCTTAGTTGTCTTTAAGTAAATATACCTCAAAGTTTATCTAAATATCTCAAAGGTGCCCCTGGAGAGAGCAAACTGAACGACACAGGGGGTTTGCTGCATAGGGATGCTGTCAGGGGAGAAACAGCTGAAAACTGCCCTCCTGCATGAAGCAGAGCCCCAGTGCTGCACTCTCTCATGGGCCTTTAAGGTGGCATTTCACCCATGGGCCTCTGAGGTGGCATCTCTCCCATGGGCCTTTGAGGTGGCATCTCTCCCATGGGCCTTTGAGGTGGCATCTCTCCCATGGGCCTCTGAGGTGGCATCTCTCCCATGGGCCTTTAAGGTGGCATCTCTTCCATGGGCCTTTGAGGTGGCATCTCTCCCATGGGCCTCTGAGGTGGCATCTCTCCCATGGGCCTTTAAGGTGGCATCTCTCCCATGGGCCTCTGAGGTGGCATCTCTCCCATGGGCCTTTGAGGTGGCATCTCTCCCATGGGCCTTTAAGGTGGCATCTCTCCCATGGGCCTCTGAGGTGGCATCTCTCCCATGGGCCTTTGCGGTGGCATTGTGTTGACCCCTAGTCTGAAACTAACCTCCTTAAGCCGTATTTGCTGTATCCTGGCTGAATGTCAGTCATATCTGGACAGCTGCCCAATTATTTAAAAGTAATTTATAACACACAAAAAATAGTGTTGCAGTACATATTGGGGTCCAAAAGTCTGAGATCACTTTGAAAAAATTTAATCCTGGAGATAAACAAAGTTTTGGCATGGGGCAAGACGTACCAGCATTTCAGAGTGGATCACTGGGAAAAAGGCCTATTTACTGAAGAATCCAAGTCAGATTTATGCCAGTAACAGAAGGGTTTATATAAGGAGATGAAAGGAAGAGAGATTCATACCGCAGAGTATCAAAACACCAGTGAAGCATGGCAGTGGGAATATTCAAGTCTGGGGGCAGCAGGATATTGACCCCAAACATGCCTCAAAGCTCTGCAAGACCTCAGAAGACCAAGAAGTACTGACTGTCATCGACCTTCTTCCACAGTCACCTGACCTCAACCCCACTGAAAAGTTATGGGAGCACTTGAAGCCTGAGAAAGCCAAGCATTCAGTAATGTCACAAGATGCTCTTTGGAACGTCCTCACATCAGACTAGGACACCATTGATCATCAGGGTTTGGACAAACTTGTGGAGTCAATTTGAGTGCACTCTGGCTCTGACGTAACAAATGCTATGAAAGTCTAGAATTCGTGTAATTTTTTTTAAAGATTCAGCTTTTCACTCAGGTCGTCATGCTGATAATGTAATAATCCATAATGAACAAATTTCATATTAAATGAGAAAAGTATGCACTGCACATAGTCCTTGTACAATATAGCCTTGTCGTGAATTATGTGTGTGGATGGAAGTTCCGAACTCCTTTAGAGATTGACAAGTATATCTTCATGCACCTTTGTACTACAGACTGATGTCTCTCACCAGCCTGAGAAAAAAATGTTTTCATTAGCTCTGCCGCCCTCCCCCCATAAAGCTGCCCCCCGCCCCCCATAAAGCAGCCCCCGCCCCATTCCCAACCCTCAGAACATCTCCTTTGCTCTCTTGTGGCCAAGGTGGACTTTGAAAAGAGTTGGAGATTGTCTCAGTTGTGCAGCTCATCTGTGACGATCTCGTCTGGAATGTTTTATGTTAATGAAAACAAATGCTTTGTAGGCTGGACTCCCAAACTTCCAGGAAAACAAACTGTTGCTGGGCCGGAGGGGGTGGGGAGCTGAGGGGGATGCAGTGAGACCTTGTTCTGGCAGTATGTCCATCTCTTGGAGTGCAAAAGAAGTACTCAGAAATTCTTTTGCATACAGAAATCCATTTGGTTAATTTTGGCATTTATTCCTGCAAATGACACATTCCATTAGCCAGAGCAGCAAACAGTTTGTTAAGCAGTACAGCTGGTACTACAGGGAGTGCTATCCTTACAAAGAGAAGGAGGCTGAACCCATCGCTGAAGGCCCGTGCTTCCTACAGCCATGTATATATGCATCTGACCACAGCAAAGCGAAAACCAGTATGGGAGAGAAATTATGATGATCTAGTTACCTTATTTATCTATGACTCAAGCACGTGGTTCATCTAACTGTCTGTTTAATTATTTAGTTTTATTGTAAAAACCTGAATGCACCTTTTTGTATGTCAAAGTCGTCTTTGTAATTTTTAAATCTCGACTGAGGGCACCGTGGAAGAATCCTGATGTACTCGAACCTTCAGTTCACATATTTTTTCCAGGTGAAGTGTAAATATAGAAGGAGAGATTTAGTGCTGACGTTGATGCTTTTGTGTGGTGGTGTCCCCCCAGAGGATTCCGGCTGGTATTTCCCCAGCGTGAAGAGGGACCCAGGCCGGTACCTGGAACCCTGTTCTGACTCCCTGAAAGCCTGGCTGCGTGCCATGAAGAACTCCGGCAAGGTTCTACTGCTCATCACCAGCTCCCACAGCGACTACTGCCGGCTGGTGTGCGATCACATCCTGGGGTGAGTGCGGGGACCCAAGGGCTCAGGGGGCTGGGGGCTCGGGGGGGCCGGTGGCCTAGCCGCACACTTCCGGGCAACAGATTCATGTCATCGCATTCCAGATCCATCTGGGCATCACCCACACCTGCACCCTCTGAATCACCCACCCAGTTTCCGGAAGCTTCTTTAGCTGACGCATAATGATTACTGTCACGTCGGTCGTGTGGGTTCCTGTTAACATTTGTTAACATGCATGTAACATTTCAGAGGCAGTTTCACTGCGTTTTTGCGTTGCAGTGCAGAGAGCAAAGCTAAATAAACAGCATACTTTTAATCAGCAGACGCTAAAAAAAACGACTACCAGCGTTAAACGCTACTGCAATAAATATTGATGAAAAATCATGAAAAACTGAACTTTGATTTAAAGATTAATTGCAGCATTGGTACAGCTCTAGTCTTCATATACTTAAACTTAAAAGGTCAGTTAGGCATTTGCGATACCTCAAGGTCACTTATGCTAGTTTATTAAAATACTTCGAATAGAACCCAGGTAGCGGATTCAGCCCCACAATTCAGATTCAGATAACTTTCCTAATTTATTACGAATCGGACATTTTTGTGTTAAAGGTAGCAACTCATATAAATGACACACAGACATGAGGTAGGCATAAGGGTAGACAACACAGAATTACAAATTACAAATATATATATATGAACAAATATGCAGAAACTACTATAGTAGATTTAAAATACTTCACTACTGAGATATACAGTAGTGTGCAAGAATAATTATAGATAGTTATATATCTATGTTTTAATCCCATATGTGAAGCACTTTGAGCTGCATTCCACATATGGAAAGTGCTGTATGAATAAAGATTATTATTTTTACCTTTATTGCCTTGGGCAGGAATGACCTCCTGTAATGTTCCTTGGTGCAGTGGAGCTGAAGGAGTCTAGAGAACACTCTATTGTCCGGCCAGTAGGTTGTGTAGGGGGTGAATAGAATTGTCCATAATTTTGAGCAGCTTGTGCAACATCCTTCTCTCCACAACCAACTCCAGTGGCCCTAGAGCACAGGGCCATCTTTCTTAGTCAGTTTCCCAGAGCAGGCCTTCTTAATCAGTCTCCCCAGAGCAGTCCTCAGCACAGAGCCAGCCTTCTTAATCAGTCTCCCAGAGCAGTCCCCAGCACAGAAGCGACCTTCTTAGTCAGTCTCCCAGAGCAGTCCCCAGCACAGACCAGGCCTTCTTAATCAATCTCCCAGAGCAGTCCCCAGCACAGAGCAGGCCTTCTTAATCAGTCTCCCACAGCAGTCCCCAGCACAGAGCAGGCCTTCTTAGTCAGTCTCCGCAGAGCAGTCCCCAGCACAGAGCAGGCCTTCTTAATCAGTCTCCCAGAGCAGTCCCCAGCACAGAGCAGACCTTCTTAGTCAGTTTCCCAGAGCAGTCCCCAGCACAGAGCCGACCTTCTTAGTCAGTTTCCCAGAGCAGTCCCCAGCACAGAGCAGGACTTCTTAAT